TTTTTGCAAAAAAAAAGCCACTATGGCACCATGAGACCCTAATTGCCTTCTTTAAAATAACCTGCCTCAAAAATGTTTTCTGAGGACTGTACTGATGATCACTCATCTTTCATAATTAAAAGCAGGCAGTATCTTTTCTTTCTTTCTGCCAAGTAACTGTCTTATCCTTTGAAAGTCAGTTTGGCAAAGATAAAGAAAGAGAAATACAGAGAATAAATGTTGTTTAGCCAATACCTCATGTACATGACAGGTTATCCATATGTTCAGAGTATTTCACAAATGTATCTCCAGACAAACTGCACATATAAACACAACTTTGGCTACTGATTTTATCAAGTGGGTGAAAAGAAGAGGATTCATTTGTCCAAGAAAGGAGCACATCTTCATTGTGCAAAGCTGATAGTTATTAAATACTTCTTGTGGCAATACTATGGCAAAACTTTAGGAAGGCAAGGCTGGAACTACAGGCTACAAGCATCCATTCCTGTGCCTTCCTGATCCCTCATTGTGCCTTTTGAACAGGTACACTGAGCTTCACAGACAAAGAAATATAAATAATAAAGGAAATACCCTCTAGAGCCATTTTCCTTAATCAGATCTGTATACTTCCAAATGCAAAGCCAACCTGAGACACATCAACAGCCCAAAGTAAGTTAAATGCTCTGAGGGATGCTGCATTTGCTCCCAAACTCCCCATGTGTGCCAGGCAGGAGCATGGAGCACCCTCCCCTCCTCCCCCAGCCTCAGCACCCTGCAAAATGACCTTCCCAGGGCCAAACTAACATCTCTAAACTAGATCTCACTTAGCAGGCATTTGGTGTAAACTGCATTGACTGAGGTAATTGGAATCCATGCTTTTAAATTGCAATAGAAACCAGCACTGAATGCACAGCTTAGGTGGGACAGAAGTAATTAATTAATGGTAAACAGAAGTAATTAATTAATGGCAAATCAGACTTGAAACAATTGCTCTGTAGAGTTGAGCCAATCAAATGTGTCAGGACCTGCAAAATGTCACCCATAATGAAGTCACTGCATTTTTTTCCAGCCTTTTCCATGCACATGTACATCCCTCCATTGATGTCCTCTGCCATTACCCAGCAACCCATGAGCTACATCAGCTTGGTTATACCCTGCAGCTGCTCAGACACAGGACCCCTGGATCCTCCTGTCATTGCCTAGCAATATTTCTCTTGATTTTGATAGAACAGGCCTTCAGCTCTCTATGCTGCAGCTTTCTCAAGGACTGCTGCCCTCACACTCCCTTTGAAGGCAGTTTTGGAGAGTGGACCCTGGAGGATTTATTTTTCTTGTCTTCACTGATCACAAACCCTTTTGAATTCCTTTGGAATTTAGTCTGAGGTATGACCTGACAGTAAGTACAGAACTGGAATTTTTCTCACTCTGGATAGTTTTGGGGTTTTTTTGGTGAATAACTGAGATATTCTTTCGGTATGCTGCTTAAGGGTGATTCCACAGTGGATATGATGTTGAGGTTGTCTCTTAGGGTTGCAGTCTTTCTTCACAAGAAAAAATGCTGTTTCATGAGTCAAACAGGAACCAAGTTTGCTCTTACTAAGGAGCAAATAATAAATTTCTGGATGAGACTTCAAAAATTTTATGCAAAGTTCATTTAAATTTCTATTCAAGTATTTAATGCCCTCAATCTTTCTTTCTCCTGCACATTAATATAAAGGAAAGATTTTTTTGTATTCAATTTTATTTTAATGGCCCCATTCCTGGTTAGAAATACCCTGCCTCTCTACCTAGTAGAACTGCATTCTATTTTACTCATTTGAACTTTATCAGAAGTACACAATTATTCTGAATTTGTTTTGGGGGACATTGTATTAGACACTTCAAAGTGGATTGACATTCAGAGGGCATAACTTTAATACAAACAAACCAGGTCCAGCCTCCATGCAGGAACCAGAGCACTTAATATTTTGTTTCTGGTGATGGGTCCATTAGCTACATACCAAACAATTAGAAGACATAGCTCTGAGGAGCCCCAGATCCAAGATCCTCATATATAAATTTACATTAGTATAAGTTATATAGCATTTTTAAGAATCCTCTTCATGAAATATGCAGTGCAAATGTACCTCTTTTCTATTAATAGAAGTTTCAAGTCACATTTCTCAGATGAGGAGAACAGGGCTGTAGGAGGAATGGATGTGATAATGGGTGTCTTGCTATTTGAAGCTTTATGAGGAGAGAACACCAGGGTTGCAAACAATACAGTTATTGACATCACTTGAAGCACTGATTTAAAAATTCAGGATGAAGAGAATCAGCAAGGGAAGAACCTCTCCACAGTCCCTCTCTAGCAACTGAAATCTGTCCAGTCAACTGTCAACAGCCATTTAAAGCTCCAGTGCTGTGAAACAGACCCAAGTGCAAACATATGCAAATAGGCATTATCACTTTGGTGTGTATCTTGGAGAAGATAAGACACACTGCATTCTATTCATGTCCTACAGCTTTTAAAAAGAGGAAAAACTCACAAGACTTTATCCTTGCTATTTTATCGATGTCACCAAAAGTTCTGCCTTAGCATCCACCTGGTACCAGGTCCCCATGTAACATTAATTCCCGGATCCATCACTGCTGACACACTTCAATGACATCTGCTCACAGCCCATGACTTCCCTGTGTGCAGCAGGTTGGTATAGCTGCTGCTCCAAACTGGGATGGGGAGATAGGATGGTTAACATGCATCACCAACCCTCCCAGAGCACAGTGCCTGGCACCTGACAGGGCAGTGGGATCTCCAACAGTGGCAGAATCTGTCACTTCTCTGAGCCACCACAATGCAAACGCAGGAGGAGGATCAGTGTGCTGCTGGATCCAACCAACTTCATCAGATCTGAATCTGCAGATGTGACAAATTATCCTGCAGAAGTGATTTATTAGCAAGCACTGAGAGTGCGTATTTATTCCCAAGGGTGAAGCAACTGGTCCAGCAGTTATTTATTCCGAACAAACTGAAAGCACTGTTGCTAAATACCTATTTTCACCAAGCAGAAAACATTAATCTGACCTAATGGAAAGCCATTAGCATGCTGTAAAGACTCAGGTTTTTATAGGCCTGCTTTTGTCATGGACTTTTTCAGCTCTACAGATACTAATCTATAT